CTGGTGTGCCCTGCTCCTGGGGGAGTCACTGCAGTGGCTGGAGCTTCTGCAAAGTCCTGGGGGAATTGCTGCCAATCCAGTGCTCCAGCAGAAGGCCAGCAAGCCCCTGGAGCCGGTGTTTGCCCCTGCTTGCCGAGCCTGCAGAGTGCTGCTAGATTTTGCAACCCGGGTTCAGGCTTCGCTCCTGCTGCAGCAAAAGCCTCTGGCTGCTGGCCCGGGGCCCATGGGGGGGGATGCGATGGGGGGCTTCAACCCGCCTGCTCTCCTCTGCTGCGCTCCTTATGCTGGGCTTCTGCGCTCGGTCTGACCACGGTCCCTCCCGCCGGCACGGATGCAAAACCGGTTGGCAAGCTGGGAGCAGGGGAGCTGGCGCCGACATCTCCTCGTGATGCAGCATCCTTGGAGGGCGGCGTGCCCAGCGCCAGCCTCGCCGGGGCCATGCAGACTGGCTGGCTCCAGCGCTCCCGGCGGAGCTGAGCCAGCGGCAGCGGCTCTCATGCCAGCCCCGGCGAGGCCGGCGACTTGAGTGCTGGTAGCCACAGGGAACGAGCATGGTCCTCAGCGAGCTGCTGTGTTTTGGGACCATGTGTTATAGTCCCAGAGGATTTAATTGTCCCTCCCTGCACTCTTGGCCATGCCTGAGTGCGGCGGCTGGGAAGCCGAGCAGTGCTGGAGACCTTAAATGACACCAGAGCATCCTCACCCTCCTGGCCCCGGGCCTCCTGCCAGCCTCCCAGGAGGGGTGGTGTTTTTTTTTTTTTTTTTTTTTGTGTGTGTGTGTGTGTGTGTGAATAAATTAAAACTTCCGAAACAAACCCTCCGACTGCCCCACTCCTCTAAGGCAAAACAAACCCTGCCTGGCTCGGACAGCACGCGGCTGTGTTTGCTCCCTCCTTGCCAGGCTTGCCTGTAACAAGCCGGCAAACCTGTCTCTCGGGTTTTTGGGATGTTTCCCAGTGTTTTGAGGCTCAGGAGGTGATGGGGAGCTTGGTGTTTGGACTGGAAGCTTTTCTTGCCAGCTGGGGCAGGAGCAGTGCAGGTAACCGTGTCCCGGCGGCGGTGGTAGGCAGGGTGCTGGCTGCAGCATCGTGAGGCCGTGGCTGCGAGCACTTTTATTTTTGAACCTTATCTTTATTGCAGTTTTCTCCTGCCTTGTTGGGAAAAGTGAAATGCACCTTATCTGGCCGGCTGCTGGCAGCACGACCTGTTCCCTGGGAGGGGAGAGGCGGATGTGCAGCTGGCAGCCCGCAGCAGCTTCGGCATCCCCTGCGGCGCTGGGGGCGATGCTGAGCTGGCCCAGCATGCACCCATGATGGGTGCTGGGTGTTGCATGGGAAAGCAGGGTGGGGGGTCCCCCTGCAGCCCCTTCCTGCCAGCTGAGCACCTCTGGGGTGTGTTATTGCCCTGGCCTCTGGCCAGGGGCTTTATTATGGGTTTCTGCTGCAGCAATAAAGCCGAGCTGGGGACCAGCCCGTGGATGCCAAGCCGAGGATGGCTTAGCTAGCACCCCGGGAGCTGGAGCCAGCAGTGCCCCGACCCCAGCCTGGGGGTGTGGGAGCAGGGAGCTGAAGGGGGGCAGCCAGTCCCCATGCCCACCCTGGGGCTGGCAGGAGAGGGGCTGCTGTCTCGTGGGGGCCCATGGAGTGGGTGGCAGTGCCTGGGGCTGCCGTTGTGTCAATCCTGGGGTGGCTCCAGGTGCCGGATAGGGCCCTTTCTCAGGCATGTCCTAAGGAGCACCCAAGGGTGCCGGGCAGGAGGGTGCAGGGCCCATGGGGCTGCCCCTGCAGCGCTCCCTTGTTAATGGTTAATGTGACTGGGCAGCAGCAGTGGTGCAGGCTCCTCCGAGCTATCAGCACTGCCATCACCCCAGGAACAGGCTGTACCTTGCTGCCGCTGTTTGTTTGCGTCCCAGCCGCTGTGCCCCGGCCACTGGTCCTGCAGCTGCCCTGTGACACCCAGCTCCCGCCCAGGCTGTCCCCCAGCCGCCCCGACAGTGGCTTTGTGGGTGATGGTGTCACCTGCAGTGCCCCTGCTCAAGCTGAAATGGAGGAGATGAGGCTGGACCCAGGCATGGCAGCACCCAGTGCTCTCCAGCATGGGACATCCCAGTCAGCTGCTCCCTTGAAGGATGAGGGGTGGCAGGAACAGACCAGGATCTCTCTTTTTTTCCTCCCCCTTTTTAATCCCCTCGGCACCCCAGCCAGGTGAGGAGTTGCTGTGCCTCTTGGCCACCATTTCTGGGAGGCAAAAAGCAGTCAGGGAGAGGCAGCGTCTCCCATGGAGCCTTGTGCCAGCTCTGCATGGTGCCCGATGGAGCTTTTGGAGGCTGTTTATTTTGGGGGTTGATGGCTTCCACCCCGCATTGCTCTGGGCTGTCCCGGTGCTTCAGCATGCCCGCAGTTTTACCTGCACCTCACATCAGAGAGACGCTCAGGGTGCGATGGGGTTGCAGATAAGGGAGTGTTTTCTTCCTCCTGTGTGTGTGATGATAGAAAACAGCAGCTCCGCGACCTGCGAATGCCCCAGAGCAAGGTCATGTCCCTGGGAGCAGGGTGATGAGCCAGGGTGGTCCCGAGGAGGGGGACTGATGCTGGGGGGAGGGGAAGGTTTGGTCCCTGAAGTTGGTCCCTGGGGGATGCAGAGGCAGAGCTAAGGAGTCCCTGGGGGCTGGGGACAGCTGGCCGGTGGCTGTCACCACCCACTGCAGGGCTCCTCTTGGCTCTTGCAGGCTGTGACTCAGGCTTCGGGCAGGCGACAGCACGGCACTTGGACGCCATGGGCTTTCGGGTGTTTGCCAGCGTGCTGGACCCGCAGGGTCCCGGCGCCCAGGAGCTGCGCAGGAGCTGCTCGCCGAGTCTGACACTGCTGCAGATGGACCTGACCAAGCCGGAGGACATCCAGCGCGTCCTGCAGCACGTCCAGGCCCACACCAACAGCACAGGTAGGAGCCCTTGGTACACCCCTTCCCCGGGGACCCCATGCAGCTTCCCAGGACCTCAGCCTGCAGCCAGTGTGGCAGTGCCAGGCCTCTCCGTGCTCCCCCCTGTGGGCTGCATCCCTGCAGGCACCTGTGTCGACAGCCTCTGCTAATGGGGCTTGTCCTAGGGCACCCAACAATTCCCCTGCAGGACCCCCATGAGCTGGGGAGTAGCTGGGATCCCCAGGGTGGGGGTGGGGGGGGTCACCCATTCGGGTTGCCTCTTTGAGCATCCCATCCCTGCAGGGCTCTGGGGACTGGTGAACAACGCTGGCTTCAATGACACCATTGCCGATGCCGAGCTCTCGCCGCTGGGCAAGTTTCGCACCTGCATGGAGGTGAACTTCTTCGGTTCGCTGGAGCTCACCAAGGGGCTGCTGCCCCTGCTCCGCTCCACCAGCGGCCGCATTGTCACCGTGAGCAGCCCCGCAGGTGAGCAGCCTGCCTTCGGCATGGCCCGCCAGACCCCTGGCACCCCCAGCCTGGGTGCGGGTCGGGCATCCCCATGGTGCAGCACGGCTCCCACCCGCCCCGGGCACCTCCACCTCCCCAGCCAGCCTGCATCAGGCTGGCACCAGCAACCCGGTGGCATCGCTGAGCCCCAGAGCGGGCACCCAGAAATGGGGAGCCATGGGGCTCTTTGTGCATCCTGGAGACAGGCAGCCCGGTGGCAGGCAGCGTGGGCAAGCCCAGCCCAGCTGCCACATGCCTACATTGGAGATGACAACCCCAAGCTTTGGCTGGCCAGGGAGGGAAAACCAGCATCCTCTTCCCCCCCATTAAAACACACTAATTTCAAGCAAATTCCAGTTGCTTTCTCAGCAAAACAAAACCTAAGCCCTTGTGCAGGGGCCAGGAGCGTGTCCCTACGCAAGCCCTCCTGGTCCTGCCTGCCCCCAACCACATAGACAGCTGCCTGAGAGCTCGCTCATTCATCCTTTTGCTCCTGCAAGGTGACCTACCCTTCCCCTGCCTGGCAGCCTACGGGGCCTCGAAGGCAGCCCTCAGCCTGCTCATGGACACCTTCCGCAGCGAGCTCCAGCCCTGGGGGGTCAAAGTCAGCCTTGTCCTGCCTGGCTACTACAAAACAGGTAAGAGGGTCAGTGCCCACTTGCTACCTGCGCCCACAGGCAAAGGGCAGGTAACTCGGGGAGGCAGAAGATGGACCAGTAGCAGGAGCAGCTGGTGGTGCAGGATGCAACTTCTGAGCATCGCCAGCCACCTCCCTAGGGACGGTGGCCCTCCTGTGGCCTTTGGGCTCCAGCTGGTGTGAGGTAGGGTCAGGATCAAGCCCTGCCAGCAGTTCAGCTACCAGAGCTGGCTGAACCAGCTCAGACGTGTTTATGGTAGCACTATCCCCCTTGCAGGCAGGGTTCAAGACTGCTGTCCCAGTCCCACAACACCAAGAGCCACCACGGTGCTACCACCGTGCCTCCCTCATGGCATATCTTTGCCAGGATTTCAGCAGGACTTTCCCAGGAGGCTGGGAGCGGACTGAGGACTGCTGGCACCCATGCCAAGGGGGCTGGAGGAGGGGGGACTGTACAGCTCATGGGGGCCCACGTCCTTGCAGGGACGACGTGCGACCCTGCCTTCTGGAACCTGCAGAAGCAGCGGCTGGTGGCCAGCCTGCCCCGAGAGCTGCTGCAGGCCTATGGCGAGGACTACGTGGAGGAGATCAACCGCCAGTTCATCCAGTTCATGAAGGTGGCGGTGGAGGACCTCAGCGCAGTGGTGAACAGCATCACGGACGGGCTCCTGGCTGCCAACCCAGCTGTGCGCTACTACCCAGGGCAGGGCCTTGGGCTCATGTATTTCATACACCGCTACCTGCCATATTTTGTCCGAGACTTGTTCTTGAAAGGATTCTTCATCAACCCCAAGCTGCCCCGAGCGCTGCGGCAAGAGCACCACAACGATGTGAAGAAGGCCTGACCTTGGCCCGCATGCGGTCGCGGGGCAGGAGCGAGCCTTCTCCCAGGATTTCCAGGCACACCAGCCCCCGAGCGCGTGCACAGCCACCGGCATCGCCCTCCTGCACTGCGGGGGAACAATCAGCACTAGATGTTAAAAACCAAATTGCTTTCCAAAATCAGGCAGATCTATTTTCTATTGTGCAAGAATCAACATTTTCTAGAGACCTTGTTTTTGTATTTTTTCTAACTGTGCATCCTCCAAGGGGGCCACCCCTGCCTGACTCAGCAGCTCTGCACCACGGGCTGGGATATTCCTCAGGCATTTCTCAGCTACCTGACATCTTCCTCACTGCTGTCAGAGCTGCATTTGTCTCCGTCACCTCTTGGCTGGGTCAGGCCTGGGACCCTGTGGCTGCTGCTGTGCCAGCCCCTGCCTCCCTGCCATTCATTACACACTCCACATGCTCCTGGCGAGCACAGGGGCTGAGGCCAGGCTGCCAGTGCCGCAGAGATCTTCACAAGATGAACTACATGATTGTCACTTTTTAAATAAATCTGTTCTTGATATGCCACCAGGCTCTGGCAGTCTCCTTCCGCACAGTGCAGCACTGCAATGCTTGGCTAGGGATGCCCTGCCTGCGGGCAGAGCTGAGCTGCGTCACAGCTGGCGCCACACCGAGCCAGGAGCCTTGCATGGGGCAGCAGGTGCCACAGGCAGCCCCAGAAAGGGGGTCTGCCAGCCAGTAAGTACTTGCACCCGCTCCCCACTACTCCCCACCCCTACCTCAAAGGCTTCCTTTTGCTTTGCTCTGATGCTGTAGCCCTGCTGGGGCAAGGATGGAAGGGCTGATAGTGCCACACACAGACAGGCCCACGCAGGAAGCCCAGGCACAGGGTGACAAGCCATGCAGCTCCATAACAGCATAGCTCACTCCCATAAGGCTGCATAAGCAGCGAGGGCTACACCTCCCCGGCACCCATCAGCTCAGCACCCAGCTGCACCCACAGACCAGGCACCCCTGCAGCTTGGGCTGGAGTGAGTTCCCAGGGCCCCAAGAGGTGGTACTACCACCCTGCCTGTGGTAGAAACAAGTGTCCCATATCATGCAGGAGCCACACCAGGCTCCACTACCACAAATACCAAATTCTCTGGGTAAGAGGCCCTGTGGCTGATGGAGGCTTCTCTTGGGGATGTGGGAGCAGGTACCCAAGTAAGCAGGGAGAGCACAGTGCAGTAGGCAGATATTTATTGGTGTAGAGAGGAAGGGATCACAGGATAACAAACACTGCAGAGGTGACCACAGCACAAACTGAGAGGGAGCCGCTCTCCATTGATCCCTCCCAGCAGCAGCACCAAGCACGTGTTTCCCACCAGCAAGGCTTCTCTGCTGCCATGGGCATCTCCCAGAGCTCAAGCACAAGTGGGAGTGAGCCAGGACACAGAGCAACAAGGAGCAGGACTGCCATGCCATGCCCAGGGCTTGGCTCCCACCCCCTAACCACAGGCGTAGGACATCTCTGCCAACAGCTGCCCTCTGCACTCATCAGGGTGACCAAGTGGAGCCAGACCCAAGGGCTGCTCTGCCCAACGGCCAGCTGTGCCCATATGACTCCACAGCAGTGTCAGCCCAGACACACTGCACAGGGGAGGAGGCTGCCCCAGCCTGGATGTCTGCCCTGGGGCGGTGCAGGGGTCCGGCGCCATCCACAGAGCCAAAAGGAGCCCTGACTCTTGCGTGGTTGTGACAGTAAACTCCAACCTGTGGGTCTTCAGGGAAGGAAGGAGCTCAGCCAGCTTATGGAGCCCTTGCAAGCTGCAGGGCAGGAAGGAGACTGAGGAGAGCTGCTTCTGAGGACACAGCGAGGCTGCACTAGTGCAAATGCTGTCAGAGTGGGGAGGAGCACGCTCTGCAAGCGCTCTGGCTCTGCCCTCACATTCCCACAGGCTCCATCTCAGTCCCGGCCAGGGCTACTCAGTCTCTCCCAGGTCAGGGTTAGCTACAGGGGGATGCAGGGATTGCACAGCAGCATGGGCTACGCTACAAATGACACTCAAACTAAATCTCACAGGAACAACACTGACTAGGAGGCGTACAGAGCACTGGCATGCCCCAGCCATGGCAGACCTGATGTGTTCCTCTGCAGCAGTGGGAACCCCTTGGAGGCAGCAACCCCCCAGCTGGTGCTTGCTCTACGAGCATAAGCGCATACAGCAGATTAGTACAGTAACACAGGGACTATTAGATACACAACAGGAGGTGTCCCTCCTGCTACACAGGGCCAAGCCTGTGCCACTGGTCCCTCCGGACCCCTCACAGGACACAACTCAAACTTCAGCTTGTGAATAATTTAACTAGCAACTGTACAGTTTCCTCATCTGAGCCAGTTCTACAGATGGGACATCCCTGGAGTCCGGGCAAGGGATAAGTCAGGGAGTTAGACAGAAGCCCCTCCGGACTCCAGGGGCAGGAGGGTCAGACAGGAGCAGAGCAGGGTTAGAAGATGGGAATGTAGTTGTCAATCTTGGTCCTGTGCCGCTGGGCAATGCACTCTGCGATCCACACAATGTTGCGGCACTCCTGCTCCTTCAGCTTCACGAAGGCATAGAAGACTCCAAAGTGGAACTGGTTGAGGAAGGCCAGCTTGTTCAGCTTCACCTGGGGAAAGCCCAGAGGAGGACATGTTACTTGTCCACCTTAGATGGGAGGAGCTGGTCAAGGCAAGCACAGAGCAGCTTGGGAGGTCTCATGACTTCCCCAGCAGGCTGGAAGGCTCAGCACAGGTATCCTGCTCTGTATCTCTCTAGGTCCTCGAGGCAGCTCTAACCTACAGCACATGGCTCAGGACAGACTCTGGCATTTGAAGGGGGAAATATTTATACCCTCAGGTACCGTGAAAATCCTCTTTTCCCAAGTAATTACACTCTGGTTTTGCTATCGATGGATCAAACATCCACCAGCAGCCCCAAACTTGCCTCCCACACCGCTCTTATCTGTCTGGGTGAGAACATGGACCAAGCACCATGCTGGGCCCCCGTTCCTTCGCTGGAGCAGAGGGCTAGCATCCTTTTCCTTCCCCCAAACTCTGTTCATCCACAGCACTGCTGACAGGGCAGCAAGACAAACTTGCTGCTACCCTGAGATTTGCAAATGGCACAGGTAGGCACATACTGAGAAGTGTCTCAGGGCTCACTCACCTCATGCTCAAAGAACCTGTCTTCAAGGGTCTTGTCTCCAGGGTTACTGCCAGCCCCTTCAAATAGCAGCTTGTACTCCTGCAGGAAGACATTACAAGAGGATATACCCAAACCCCAAAGCCCTCCAAGCTCAGCAGTGTTTGGGGGCCCTGTGCATCAAACAGATGCCCCAGCCACCATGTCAGGTCAGCAGAGGACAGAGAAACCAAGAGTCTGCCCTGTGCACACAGGAATATTGGCAACAGGATGCTGCTGAGGATGCACAGCACACACACTGGCTGAAGGCAATCCCCAGAATGGCAGAGAAAGCCTTTATTTCACCTGTGAGCTTGTCCAGCCAGAGATCCTACCCCTTCTCTGAAATATGCAGTTCTCAAAGCCAGGGCGTCACTTTGAGCCTGCAGGGAGGATGCATCAGGTACAGACCCCTCCACATACAGACTGGAGTGTTTGGGCCAGGCCCCTGTGCACACAAACACTGACACATGCCCTGGCTGCTTCAGTAAGGAGACACTGAGCTCTCATGCACAAGAGCAGCTTAAGGAACCCAGACACATCCAAACATGTCCTCCCAGGTCAGCGTCTCCCCTGTGACTGAACCAGAGCTCAGAGTGACCCACAAGGGCTGCAGATGGGGCACACTGCTTCTCACTGAAGACATGTTTCCACCCCCAACCAGCCAAAGAGAGACTGTCATCGCTGCCACACTGATACCTCAAGGGTTTGGTGGTGAGGGCAGCCCCCACACCCTGGGACAGGGTACACCTGGTCTCCCTATCACCACTGCAATGACAGGCATGACTGACAAGCCAACAGCATCCCAGGCAAGCCAACTCCATCTTGGCCGAGCAGAGCACAGAACCAACAGTAGCAGCAGAAGATAGGCATCCCTCTCCCCAGGCTGTCAATCCACAAGTTCTCCCAGATCCCCGAGAAGCTCTGATCCAGAGTAGGTTCTTGCACCAGTCCCCACAGCCCTCACCCCAAAACACTCACAGGGTAGTAGTCAGCAACATTTTTGACTTGTTCGTAGTCATCTGCTCTGGCCAGCTGAGCCAGGCCCTCAGGGTAGAGCTTGCCACAGTGCGGGAACAGCTTTGCTCGGTCCTCCTTGGACAGCTCAGTACCAAATGAGTTAATGGTGATAATGAAGGCTCTCCGGTCAGCTTCAAACTGCAGGAGAAGAGTGGTTCACCTTGGGATGCAGCATCTTGGCCAGAGGCTAGCAGGTACTGACACTGTTCTGAACAGAGCCACATCAGAGGGCAGCATGAGCAAGCTGCCTGGGTGCTCAGCTATCCAGTGCTTAGCCAGGGCAGGCTACACATGCAGGCTCCCAGTGTGCCCAGTAGCTGATGCCTGGGGAGCAGTCATGTGAGGAAATCCCCATCCCAGGCACAGGCCAAATCACTGAGCAGAACCCTGCCCAGGTCAAGGAGTCTCTCTCACCTACTGCCCCTGAGCCCTGCACATCCCACAACTAGCCTTGGCATGGAGACAGGCCATGCACTGAACAGCTCTGGTTGTTCTCCTGCTTGTTATTCATGTGAGAAGATGAAGATGTTGCCATGAAGGCAACAGATGTGTCAGCACCTGGCAAGATCAGGACTGGGGAACGAAACCTGTCCAAAGTCACGTGCAGGCAGTCAGAGCGTGCATGGGGATGCTGAAAAATATCTTGAGCATCCTTAACGCTGACAGGCAAGCTGGGCCTGAGCACAGAGCAATGAATATTACTGCAATACTATCCAGCTGCAGGGGTTTCCAGACCTACCTCCAGGATCGGGCACATGGCATCTGCCGTGGTACCTCCCAGCACCTTGCAGAACTTGTAGAAGGACTCCAGGTAGGCCTAGAAGAGAGAGGGCAGATAAGCGCTCTTCTACACAGCTTCAGCTACTGCCCCATAGGGCCATTCAGCAGAGGACAGACAGCAAGTAGGGATGCTCCCAGATGCTTTGTAACACACCACGGACACCCTCACCCCACATGAGCTTGGATGCCAAGCCCACACAAGGAACAGTTATTGCCCAGGAGCTGGAGACTTGAAGGGTTGTGGTTGAGTTTGTTCAAGTGACTGCATGAGCGTACTGCAGGCAAGATCCCCAGGCAGTAAGGTTAAAGCCTGTTTTGCTCCTTTGAGTCATCTAACTCCAAAGCATTTACTGAAGTCTCACATGGTTTCCTGACCCTGCTCTGGCCTCCACAAACATGCCAAGCCACGCAACTATAGCTGCAAGACCTATGCTCAGGAAGTACCGCTGTGTAAGCACAGTCAAGAGATGAGACAGGACATCTGTGAAGGAAACTAGCCATTCTCTATAATTCTCTTTTCACACAGCAGCCACTTGGTCTCCATCCCAAATGAAGCACTGCAGAAAACATATAAGGATAGGCACAGCTACGCTGCCTCCAGGAAACGTAATCCTTTGTGGAGAAGTACCATAATCCAGCTGGAAGATGACTGTATCTCCCGGGGGAGCCTATGAAGGCTGCGCATGGCTAAAAGTGCTGCTCAGCAAAAACTTTCTCAGAGGAAGTAATCATGTGATAAAATACCTCCCTGGACAGAGAGCTGCAACCAGAATCACTTAAAAGGGATGGAATAAAATGATGCTGAGACATCACAAATCTCTGCTTTGTCACAACACCTCCAGGACTGAAGATGGACCAAGAATGCACATGTTGGACACCCTCAGCCTCTGCACTAGGAAAGCACCTGGATTACTACGTTCTGTAAATCTTTGTTAACACACAGCACAAGAGGACACTGCTGGGTGAGCATCATACATCAAAGAGACATCATCTTCAGCACTTGGCACTGCTCAAGTGCAGGAGAGCACAGAGCACCAGTCTGCAGAGTTACTACAGGAACAAGGACACAGATAACAGACTTTGTTTGAGGCTGACAGAAGAGGGAACCTGGATAAGAGGTTCAGTTACTACCTCTGCCCTTCTCAGGGGTTCATGCACAAACCTAAGGCTTTAGAAGTAAAAATTAGATGAACTCAAGTATCCAGCACTGAATGAGGATCCAGTATCACAGACACCATGGAAACACAGACTGTGGAACAGCTGCACTGGGTACCCTCCCCTATGGACCCCTCTGCAGATGACAGCAATTTACAGAAACTCTCCAGTGTTCTGAAACCCTTGTCCCCAAAACAGTGGTGTCTTTCCATTTAATAATCCTTAATGGACTTCTCCTTCCATGAACCCACACATTTACCCTTTGCCTCCTGCTAGCCTCATTTGTCTGTCACATCCAGCCTAAAGGGAGACCTGTAGTCTGTCCATCCACGTTGACTTTTCCAACACTATCTGTGGTTACCACCACAGCTCAGATTCACTCATCTTCCAGGTGAGGAATCCTAACCTTTTTTGTAGTTTCCCATACAGACGTCATTGTACCCAAACCTTTAAATGTGTCCTCCTTAGCAGCTTCTCCTGTTCTGCTGTTTACATTCAGAGAAGAGAGAGGAGAGGAATGAGACAGTGTTCAGGACACTCTACAGATGTACACAGCAGCACAGTGGTATTTGTGCATTTCTCTTCTACTGTTAGGAACAAATTACCTTGTAGAGACACTTGCTTAGGTCAGTCATAACCCAAGATTTCATTTAGTAGTAGAAAGGAACAAGGAGACCCTCACTGTACAGGCAGAGTTAGGATTATCTCTTTGCCTCTCCCATACATCACTCCACATTTATCCACATTGATTTGCCTGCTATATTTTATTGTCCAGTCACAAAGCTCCTTCAGCTCGTTCCTACAAGAAGGTTGCCAGCAAAGGCCAACAGTCAGCCAGCTTCACTTCAACATATCCATTAAAGGTGTGGAAAAAAAGGGAGTAAGCATTGAAGATAACAATGCCAGCACACCTCCATTGCAGGACTCCACTACTGACCACCCTCTACACTAATAGTGACTGCTTGCTTTTAACCTCTAATCCCCATCTTAACCATATTTCCATTTGAGAACCTTCTTGCTTGTCATTGCTAACAAGAAACCTTTGTAATTACTTTCCTCCTATGAATCCTGGTCAAACCTTCTGTCTACATGGTCGCAGATTCCTTCAAAAAACCTCCAGTAGGCCTGGGAGGTAGCACTTCCCCTTCCCAAGCCAACGCCTCCTGGACACAGGCATCCCTCCCAGGCACCTGCCTGCTGCATTCCTCAGAGCAGGTCTGCAGATTTCAGATCTGATTTTATTTCCCTCATTTGCCTGTGAAGGCCATTTGCATTGTATTATACATTTTCCAGTGCCTGGGGAGAGAGATGCATTCAGGTAAGAGTCCGTAAGTGGCAGTTACCTTTTCCACCCTTGCATCCCCATGATTTGCTACTGACAGAGCCCCTATGTTTCCCTGGGGGCTGCTCTTTAGCAAGAGCCAGTCCCAGCACACACCAAGGGATACCAGGCATCTATGCTTCAATTTGGGGTAGGAAGAGCAGAACGCAAAGCAGTATCAGGCCTCAAAAAGGAAGTGGCAGCTGGGACCCAAGGAGGTATCTCCCACTCCCTCCCCAACGTGTTTGTCCTGTGCTCACTCTGCTCCTTGCCTTCTCCCACCTGCCTCGTCTCAACACATCTCAAGCACCCTGCAAGGCTGCAGGTAGTTATGCGTACAGGCATATCTCCCCCCATTACAGCAAAAGACCAGTACATGCCAGAGGCGACACGCAGCTCCTTCTCCCCTCCCTTTGCCTTCTTCCTTTCATGCCTGACCTGTTCTCTGCCTCTCCAAACAGGCCACAGCTTCTTTGGGAAGCAGAGGTCACACTGACTGCAGGCTGGTTGTGACCAGCTAAAAGAAGGTTGGCAGATACAATCTGCATCCCACCCTTAATCCAGAGAGTCGAGATGGAGCGATAGCCACAGCCTGCACATAAACACACACTTTTGATACTGCCAGCTAAAACCAGATGGAACCTGCAGAGGAGACAACAGCTCCCCATGCAGACTCAGGACAAGGAGATCCTTAGCCCCTCCACATCCCTGTGCCAATACTTTCCCCAGCCTGCAGGACTCCTTCATCCCAGCTACACCTTTTACACTGCTCTACCAAGAGCATCTAACCCTAACCACAGCCACTGAAGGCTTGAGCAGACTGTTGGAGGCTCTTCTGAAAGAGCTCAAGACAGAGTGCCAAGCCCATAGAAGTCCTTTAACCAAGTTTAAGATCTAGCCACTTTAGCCCTTTGAATGCAGTTAACTACACGTCTAAACTCATGTGGTTGAGCAGCAGCCTTCTGCCTGCCTGGGGCCTGAGGAAATTTATTGAAAGGCATAACCGCTGCAAAATCTCTTGCACAGACTCTTGACAGCCTGACAGCTCCAAAGAAACCCCACTCTGCCTAGCTCTGGTGCCCTGACTCTGCAGAGCTGGGTGATCAGATGTCAGGCCCCTCCAAGAGCACTATCTTTACTTTCCAATGGATGCAACCAGTTCTTGGTCATGTTTACTCTATCACCACTCCAGGGAAGAAAAAGAGAGAAAGCAAAATTCTTTTTAAGTCTATTCCAAGAGGAAAATACCCTCTTGTCTTTGGCTGAAGAAAGCCAGCCCAGGTTGGAGCTCCTGAACCAAGACAGAGCTGTAGTCACACTAGGAATAAACAGGGAAGTTAACATCTCTTTCCCTTCCCAGAGACTCATTTACCTTATACAGCGTGTTTCGAATTATTTCAATGTTCATTTCATCCAGGTCCTGTTCAGATATGCAGTCTTGGAAGAAAGCAGCTGAAACAGAGCCACAGACAGAGTTAGCATTGCCCTAACCAGTCCCACGCCCAGCACTTTCCAGAGTCCTCAACAATACCAGGCAGAAGCACTGTCCCCTCCTAGGCCTGGCCCTTATCTTCAGCAGCCACGAAATTGCCATGACTCAAAACCTCAGGCTCCACCATGGTTCCCCAGGCCACAATCATTTTGGGGGCTCTCACATGAAAAATCTTTCTTCACTCCTTAGTCCTATGGTTTGGTTAACAGCCTATTCTCAGCAAAAATTCTCAGCTCTAGCCCCCATAGCAGCCTGTATTTAAAAATAAGCAAAACCCAAACTGTTCGCAGATGCAGGCACTCAGAGGTGACAAGACAGTTTCCGAATTGCCTGCTACAGCACCGCAGCAGTGCTTAAACATCTGTGAGAGAGCAGCTAGCGAGTCTTGAGGAAGCTGGTGCTTCTCCTTCCTCCAGTATCTCAGTTGGATTAAGGAGGCATGGGGATGCCACAGTTCCTACAGCCCATGACACTCCACATTTGGAGTCAGGAGCTGTTTCCTCTGGTCAGGTCTATCAGTCCCATTTGCTACTTCTTCCAAGGACTTTTATTTCTCTAGCTGGAGGTAAGCAACTGGAGACAGGATGAACTAGTGGTTTTTGGTAGGATGTTCAGCCCTACGTACTTTGCCAGAGTATCTCTGGGAGGGAGTTTGAGAAGTTGTTACCACCTAAAGAACACAGATTTCAGAGCTAACACAGGGCACTGCAAGCTGCAGATGAGTCTTGTCTATCTAGTGTAACATAAGGCTGTTGTACCACTCACTTGTTAGCAAGAGCACAATAAAACCCATTGACAGGACTTTTATGACTTCAACTCTCACTCAGCAACCAACTTTGCTGAATTTGCTACATAGAGAAATATGATCTTTCTCAGCTTACGCAGTCTAGCTGTGGGTAAAGGACACTGCACTCATGCTCAGAACTGAGCAGTGCTCTGCCTTGTGCGACAAACCAGGCACGATGCAGGATCACATCTTTGCTGTGCACTACTTTTATAGCACGAGCTCCCTGGCATGGACAGCAGCCGCACTGTGGGTCTAGAGAGTCCCAAACAGGCATTAACCCCCCCAGAGGTTTTTTTGCAACAGCATCAGAGACCAGTGCCACGTAGCTGGAGGAGCACTGCTCCCTATGGTTGGCAAAAATGAAAACAGAGTGTGCCAGGACTGGTTTTCACTGCAGGACCCGCTGGCTAGCCTAGATAGCTAAGCAGTGGCTACTCAGAGTAGCAGAGGAATGAGAACACAGCTATTTCAGTTCTTGGCCCTCCAATATCCCAAATTAGGCTAACAGCAAGTCTTATTTTGCCCTGCTAACCTATGAAAGCCATTTGGGGTTAGGCATTCCTACCAAGCCACGTAGCTACTCAAGTACTTTTAGGAGATAGAGCTGCTGTTTCTTTGCGTGTGGTCACTGGAAAGAGTGCAAGTTAAACAACTGGAGCCTGCATGCCTGCTTGTTTAGGCAACACAGCTACTGCCCATGTTCTCCTGCTGAAGAAATGCCACACTAGATGGTACACAGCCTCAAGGGCATGACCAGGGCAAAGGTCTGAAGAAGTCAGCCTAGCCAGGACAGAAGCAGGCAAAACTGACGCACATACAAGTACACGAACGCAAGAGGCAAAAGACCCTCAACTGCCAGCCACGTTCTCCAGAACCACCTCACTAGTGTAACGGGGCATTTTCACCCCATACACAGCTGGAAGCTTTAAGGTCTTTGAGAGTTAATATCTTTGACATACTCTGTTCTATCTTATTCCCAAAATGGGAAGGTTCCTGCTTACTCATGAGGAGAATTTTCTTCCCACACATCATCCCTACAGCAGGCTCAACTCAGCTGCATGCAGAGCCTCGGTTCTCTTGCTGAGTTGTTGCCCTACCTTGCAACCCAGATCTCCCAAGACATGCTTTCCCTCCCTTGCTGGGCTCTATCTGGCAAGTCATTTTTCCATGACAACTACTTCACTTGCCCCGTTATTACACAGAGCATTTGCAAAAGCACTTTCAGTTCCAAACCCAACTATTTCTATCACAGACAATATGATGATTTAGAGTGTTTTGTTCTTTCTAGCAACCCCAAAAGAATGATTAATCACTGACTCAGGCATACCTCATTATGTTTTTGCCCACAGAGGCTAAATTAGCAAGTCTCCTGTGACTACCTTTCCTACTACTGCAAAAAGACCCATATTTTCTCCAGAACCACTTCCTACACCTTTTATCTTTGAAGAACGTATCTGTTTGACTAGCTGTTTGTAAGACACTTGGTTTTAGTGTTATGTGCCTCCTGGTCAAGGCCTGTAGCCCTGAGACAGTATACCTCTGTGCAGGATCCTGCTATACAATGAGTTTAAAAAGGCTTTTGGAGATTACTTTTTTTTTTGCTGGTGTTGGTTGGTTTGGGTTTGTTAGTTGTTGGTTGTTTTTTTTGTTTGGGGTTTTTGGGGGGGGGGGGGGGGAGATGTTTTTGCATTTTGTTGTTGTTGTTTTAATATAAAGAGCTTTCCTTGATCTAGAGCTGATTTTATCAGTCTCAGAACAAGACCGGGCATTTGCAGATCTCTAATTATCTACAAAAATTGCCTACAAGAAACTGCCCAATGGTCCAACTAAAAGTGCTGGAAATTAAGTGACTCATTCCAGCAGAGGACCCAATAGCCCTTCACTAAGAAAGCACATGTGCCATGTGTTCCATGACAATTATTGAAAAGATCGCATTGTCTAAGACCTCTCAAACTTACTTCTTCCTCCCTAATTTCAGGTGACGATTCCCAGAAGAGCTGGTAAATGGACATATCTAGCAGATCAGATCTAACTACGCCTGCACTGCCATAACAGCTCAAGGTCTGGCTCACACAAACCAAACTCCCCAGCAGTCTGCACTACCAGTGTGCCAGTTTAGACAGTTGTTGAATGGTACAGAGAGCTAGCTGATCCTCCAGAGGAAAAACTGGTATAGGACAGGCATAAACATGAACTCAAGCCCAGTCACCACCCGCAGTACACCCACATCTGCGCGTTACCCACCGCTTTGTCTTCCTGGAGCACAACTTCGGCTTGGTTGGACCTAGTTAGACTGGGAGAGAAAGGGACATCTGCTCCACACATAGCTAAGAGGTAATTTGAAAGGCTCCACTCACCCAGGGGAGTGTCCACCAGGATTGCATTGTAGAGCTCCGCAGGTGTCTGAGCAATATTCACAGCTTCCATCTGCTCAAAACTTCCCAGAGGATGGCACTTGGGCACCAGTTCGGAGATTGAACGCTGGTGCAGAGTCCCAGTGATCAGCAGAATAACGTTGTCAATCATGTAGCTATACCTGAAGGAATGCAAGAGGAAGCCTGTCACAATACAAATAATACAAAAACCAGCACCAGACGGGCACACATCTTCAGTCCCTGTGAACATCTCCAGAAAGATGCACCCTTCCCATGAAGAACTAGTAAGGCGCCTCCTTAATGACTCCTTATCATGCCAGCCTAGGCAAAGGGAGTCAAGCATAGGCCCAGGCTGTGATATATGCCACAGCTGAACCACATCATCTGGGCATCTCCTATCTACCATTGAAGACTATTAGATTGGAAGGGACTGCTAGAGGTCTCTGGCCCAATGTTTTGCTCCAAGCATGGCCAGCTCCAGCTGCTCAGGGCTTTGTCCAGCTGAACTTTGAATTACTTGCAAGGATATATATCTCACAACCTCCCTGGGGCTCTGCTTCAGTGTCCAACCACACTCACAATGAAAAGTCTTTTCCTAACAGCTAATCAGAATTTCCCTCACAGCTATTTGTCTACTGTCTCTTATCCTAACCCCACACACCTCCAAGAGGAGCTTGGCTCCAGCTTCCCCACACCCTCGGAACATTTGTCCTTCCAGCATTCCCACTGCTCTCCTCGCACTGCCATGCTCTGTAGAGAGCATATGCAGAAGTGTATGTGGTAGAACACCAGCAAAGGAGAATATGCAGATAGCCTGACTCAAGCTCAGCTTCAGAGCCAGCAGCACTGCCCCATCTTGCCAAGACTATGGAGAAAGGGTCACGTTTCTGCAGCCCCGCTCCCTTCCAAAAACAACAGGGCTGGCAGCTTTAGCACAACCTTCACTCGCACCCTCACAAAACTACACACAAGGTTTTTCATACCTCTACCATCAAAAGCTACAAATTTCTTTGCATTAGCCCATGTTATGACATCCCTAACCAAGTTTTCCACTTATGTTATACAGGATTAGCAGATTCAGTCTTTGGCACTGCAGTAATGGGACATTCCATCTGGAACCACGGCACTCAGCACAAGTTCCACCCACATAAGCCCTTTGTGGCCCTTTCTCTTGTACTGAGAAGTGCAGAGCTGGGCACAGCACTCCAGATGAGGCCTCCACCACTGATGAGGAGAGGGGCAAGATCACCTCCCAGTTCTACCAGTCTAGCCAGAGAAGGGAGACACAGCTGGCCTGAAGACTGGGAATACAAGAAAGGCTGGTGGCCTTTTCCAAGTAAGGGATCAAGGCATCATGTAAATACAAGGGGCTGAGAGGAAAAGTGTCCCCAGCAAGAACAGGAGTGCTGCTCTAGGCACCTTCACCACCAGCTGAGCCATAAGCCAACCAAGCTGAGCACCTGAAAAACATCAAGCAATACGAGTTGGTTTTTTTCAGTCAGCAGAAGATGCCTTTGCTAACAACCCTCAGCACCACAGGGAAGGGGCACAGATGCTGGAAGAGCAGTATATTTGGGATTTTACACTCCCTTGCTCCCACTGCTAGAGCTCTAACTCTAAAAAGTTAGATGATGGAAAAGACATGAAGAAGCTCCTTGGCAGGAGCTGCTCTAAAACAAATGAGATCAGGCCTGAACTAGAATGGCAGAAGGAGCTGTGCAAGTCTGGAGTTGGAGCTCTGTTGAGGTTCAGGCTTCCTACACGTACTTTGAGTACTGAAGAAAGGGAACTTAAGGCCAGCACACCGGGACTGGGGCAAGGGCAGGGACGGCAAAGCTCTGCACACGTTTGTCAGACAGGCATAGGGATGCTGCTGATCTTTGTATTTTCAAGCTAACAAGGAGGACACAGTGCAGCCCCGTTTCCCTTTGAACCACATCAAAGGCAGGTAAGCAGAGCCAGTTAAAGGCAGATTTTGGCAGTTTTTATTAGATGGGCTTACTGCCTCCAAATATGCTCAAAGGGCATGTCCACGAACAAATCCACACCTTAGTTCCTCAAACAGGTGCTGCCTTTTCTCTCCACACTGCAGGGCTGGGTAACACACCTGCTGGCCCTACTATTTTTGCAGAGAGCCTTTCTGTGTTTGCAGCCTGCTTTTCCAGGGACATTCAATCTAGAATTGGGGCAAATCAGCACAAACTTCATGTACCAGGAAACCTCCTTTTGCCCTTTAATCTGCAAGGTCATTATCCTCCCTTCCGTTTGTGCAGCTCTCACCATGGAGATAATTGCAATCTCCAGGACAGCAAGAAAGGCCTGTTTATGAGAACTGAGGGTAAGTCCCTTGTAGTAAGCAGGTGGTTCCTGGTAAATACAAGCATCTGCACCCTAACACAGAGGCATGTCCGTGAGGTGTGCAAGACCAAGGATACAGAAGATCATTCCCCAGCTCCACCATCTGCCCTCAAACACGCAAGTTTGGTTAGTGCAACACAGTAGCTTTCACGGAAGACCATATGCAGGACTACTCTCACCAAAGCAAGGCAACAACATAGGACCAGACCAAATTTTTTTCTTCAACTCAGCCTACAGTGAAGGTACAGGCAAGGAAATATGGTCATTGCACAGTATGCTAGCACACCTCTTTCCTATTCCCAGCTTACCATGGATCTTGCTCTCTGCAAGATATTTGCGACTTGCAAGGAGCCTGGCCAAAGTCAACCATACAAGAGGAACTGAGGGAAAATGCCCGGAGCCCTTTCTGTTCACAGGTCTTCAGAGCAGCTTAGCTCCTGCCTTACTGGAGTCACACTGACCTCATCCGTGCCCTCCCAGTCCAGCTAAGCATGAAAGCCACAGCCAGGTTTGGGGAGAGCAGCCCAAGTCTGACCCTCTTCACATATGAGAAGCTCCTGCTTTCAGACTGATGGTCCCAGGAAAGACAACCCAGCTGGTTTCCACTGCCAGAGTGCAAAGCATGGCTCTCCCCATGTCATTTATACCCCTCAACTTGCTTGTTTCCTCATCCTTCAGGGAAGTCTGGGGAAATGCACAGTCTATAGACCAAATGCCAAGGCCTCTAAGGAGGCGCAGCACCAACTGTTTGAAAGAGTACCTTACCTATCAAGACTACTTAAATCTTGCTGTCAGATTCATCCCTGCAGGAAAAAGAGTTACCACGCGCAAGATAGAGGGGAAATTTCTTATTCCATTTTCCACTGCAACAGCATTTCAAACCTTTACGATAACAAGAGAGCTGCAGCAGGACAAAGGTCTTCTTATGCCCGCTGAGGCCAGACAGACACCAGCACCACTACCTAATCTTTCTTGATAGTTCCCATTTCCTTCAAGCAAGCCCAGACCACGCTTATTCACATTCAATCCTTGCTTCATCCCAGTAAAAAGAGTCACAGCTTAGTTAGTCATGACTATGAGGGAAGTCTTCTAGTGTCAGGGCAGCTGGAAAAGCCTTTTCTCATCTGTGGAAGGGGCAACACTTGCTTTCCTGTGCCAGGTCCCAACAAGAACGCATCTGCCTCCATTAGCACAGCCGTACTAAGACCGTAGCAGAGGTCCTGGCGACGCTGGCATTTCCTCCCAGGCCCAAAGGATTAGATTTATTACAGTGGCAGCAGTTTTCCTAGGAACCTCCAACTACTTGTTTAATAGAGCAGCTTTTGTCATCAGCCTCCTCATCTCCATTAGGCTCTGACCAGCTTCAAATGTTTCAGTTTTCATGGTTAATGCATGCTCAGACCCCTCCAAGAACATTTTAACCTTCACTAGCTCTCAGCACAGCTAATAAGAGAACCAGACTACGGGACACATCAGGAAAACAGGAGTAGTTGGTCACTTGCAACACCATAATCCTACTGCAGCCTGCTTGGCATGGAAAAGAGATTAAGACATAGGATGGTCTGGTGGGAGACTGGAGACAGGTAAAAGGACCAAAAAGCTCCTTGGTGAGGACAAGCCTCTGCACTAGCTTACTGGGAGTGCTCAGTAGGAGTTCAGAAGAGAAAGCAATACATGGAGACTCTACATAAGCTACAGACAGTGACACGGGGTGGCAGGGCTTTAATTAAGTAGAAAAATGGCACCTTATCTCAAGCCCCCAACCTCGCCTCCACAAAGACCATAGCAAGACTCCCTGGGGCAAGAACGCATTTTACACTACTGCTTTGAGCTGCTAGCCACCCACACAGGGAGATGGACACAAAAAGAGTGGATGTTCAGTCAGAATTTCACAAGCACAGTTACACCCTGCCTCACTCTTCCTGTCACCCACTGAATTGAGGTGTGGTATATTCTAGAAATTCACATTCGCAGAAATACAATTCTGGCTGATACTGAGAAGCATCAGTAATGTCTCACAGAAGAGTAGAATTTCTTATTAAAGGACAGGAAAGAGTCAGCAAGCACAGAAATATCATCCACAGCAGGAGAGATATGTTGGCTTATGGGTTCCTGAAGTCTGAGACAACTGGGGCCAGTATCTTCGCTCCTCCAGTGACACCCAGTTCAGCACAATATGCACTGGGCGACACTCACATAAAGAGAACAAAGCCAGGACAAGATATACCTAGAGAAGCCAAAAGGTGTGTGTGTGGGGGAAATGTTCCTTCCAGCAGCACCAGGTCAGAGAGATCATTCTCACTGCTGGTTTTGGGAGGTATGGTCTCAGACAGGCACAGCAGAGACCTCTCTGAGAAAACAGAGGAGAGCCAGGCCCCAGAAGCTAATTGTGGGATAGTCATCCGTGGATAGCTATCAAGCAGAATCAAAGAGGAGAGCACACATGCAAAAGCCATGTACAATGTATGTCTTCCTCCTTTTGGAGTTACTTAAGTACAGCCACAGATAAATGAGACATGCAAGAAAGATTGCAACAGTCCACTGAATGTTGGGAAAGGCTTTTTAGCAGGGGAGCATATAAATGCATGAAAGCTCATCACATGGGGCATTTACAACTTGGCCTGAAGGCACTCGGGCATAGCCCTCAAGACAGTTGGGGCTTCTTCCTTCCCTGCTTACTAACCTAATCATAAAGAGTCATTGTCCTACAGCAGATAGGTTGGTTTTATATTGCTTTCTGCTCCAGGATACTAAAGAAACCGTAAACAATACTGCAAGTGGTCACAAAGCATGACTAATGACG